GGAATTGTCCATCAACTTCTGGATCAACCCTGAGGTTATTATGAACTATGGTAGCAATCAGAGCAACCATAGTTTACTGAAGTTGAATTTAATGAATTTATTGAAGTTAAATTTAGTGATTCTCAAAATATTACTTTTGAATATTTTATTGCCAATTTTCATGCTTGTCACAGAACTAGGAGTCCAGTTGGAAAAGGTGTTGAGATGTTAGTCATGACCCAGTAATAATGAAGGGGATATATATTTCAGAGGTAAATTAAATGTAAGCTACTTTTCAATCTGGAAATACACTTAAACTCTCAAACTCAACCGTTGTCTAATGCAGTAAAACAATACAAAGTATTTGGTTATTTCAAAATGGTTATATTATTTCTGAGTAACATCTGATTATATCTTAAGCACAAATACAAATTTATTAAATTATTGTGGTAGGCTTTTAAGAATGGCATTCAATTGCAACATGATTGTAATATAGCATTCCAAATATTCAGAGGGGCAATTTCTTCATAGCAATGTAGCTTTCCCAAATGATAGAGGACATTTACAAAGTTACTGATTTGGAGATCACTGAATTCTATAGCATTTTCCATTAAAGGAAGAAAGGTTTTAAGATGAACTTAAAACCACTAGGTTGCCGGGAGCTGGTGGCTCACGCCTGTAATCCTAGCTACGCAGGAGTCAGAGATAAGGAGGATCACAGTTCGAAGCTAGCCCAGGAAAATAGTCCATGAGACCCTTTCTCTAAAAAATCCATCACAAAAAAGGGACAGTGGGGTGGTTCAAGGTGTAGGCTCTGAGTTCAAACACCAAAACCACCAAAAAAATAAAAAACACTAGGCATATTCCCATTGTCCTCCATGTACAGCTTAATATACACTATGAGAAGCTCAAAACAATTTTAGTGTTTAAAAGTGCCCCTAGCAGAGATAATTGTAAAAGTTATTATGTTGATATAGAATTTTAACTTAATTATGCATGATTTAAATCTACATATCCACTTTGCCTCTTACATTGTACTAATATTTAGGAACTGGTGAAGGGAGTATGGAAGTGAAGCAGTTAAACATCTAAAAACTCCACCTAGAAAGTGGTTTCTTACTCTTTTCTGCTGGACAGAAGAAGACAAAGCAAAAAAGGCAAAATGTGTTTTTCATTACAGTGTTCAAGTCAGTGGCTTTGGTAATATAGTTCAACTTAATAGTTTGGTGTGTTACCAAAAATAGCAGGTTAAATGGTTAGATTACATCATCTGTGGTAACATCAGGATAAATTGCCTATTTATTAGAAGACATAAAATTAAGAAAATGAATATCTAGTAACTTCAATAAAGTAGAAGAGATGTCTTCTTTTAGAAACCTCCCCTCTAGGCTCCACCACCATCCTCTGTCTGGCCCAGCACATGATTGTCTTTTAATCATTCTACAGCAATAACCTTAAAATTTATCTCCTTGTAGCTTACTTCCCTACATATATGTTGTCTGAAATCATCTGCAAGACTTTTCAAGTGAGAAAATTTGATCCTGTTACTTCACCCTAGGGGATTTAGTAGATATGCTTGTAAGAAGTCTAGAATTAAATGTCCTTAAAGATCCTCCTAGGTTTGGCTAAGATATCTATAGTCTGTTTAAAACTGAAAAGGAAAATAAAGGCTTAGAATAACCAAACGCATATGTAAGTAATTAAGTATATGCTTCTCTGTGGATATTTATTTATGAACAAGGATGGTTGCTAACTGATAGTCTAAAGTTTATAACAAATGCAACATGAACTAAATTAGCTTATTTAAACTTATTTTCAAAACATTGTAGCTCTCTGTACATTCTGTTAATTTAGCTCATAATAATGTATAATAAGTCCTTTTAATATAAGATAATATAGAATTTATGAAATAGTATATTTGTGATGAAACATTAGGGGTGTTATATTTGCCTTGATTTGTACTGTAAACATTCAATAAAGAATAATTTCTTAAGACAGCAAAATGTGTTCAGGTCAAAGAGGAGTAGAATTAAAGGTTGCCATGTCTAGTAAATTTTCTAAGATATTTATAATAATAAAGTCTTCATCTTTGTAAGAGTTAAATTTGTGAATCAGCATGTGACATAAAACAAAGCATGTGGCCTGATAGGGAAAAGTATCAATTTTTCTAGAGACCTAAACTATAGTCTTAAGTTGCCCAAATTATTCTTGTTACTAACTTTTTCTCTATGTGGAAATCATAAATCAATTGAATAGCTATTTATCAAAACCCTGTTACGTGCTGAGTAGTCTCCTACGTATGTACATTCTAAGCTTGAACAAGGCACACAAGAGTTTTGCACATGTGGAGCTTAGATTCAGAAAGGATGGAGAGAGACCATAAACAAGTATATGCTAATAAATAGGATAGTTTTAAATGACAATAAATGTTAGGAAGAAAATAGTGTGAGATGATGAAGAATTACTCAAGAATGGGTAGCTACCTAAAATTGGTGGATGAAGAAGGTTCTTTGAAGAAGGGACCTCTGAGAGAAACAAAATGACAAGAATGAAACTGCATACTAAGATTCAAAGAATCCCAGGCAGAGGGGAAGAATAAGTACAGATGCCTCAAGGTATAAATAACATCACAGTCTTCTATATATAAGGAAAATCAAGTGAGAAGGAGAAAAAAACATCTTTATTGAGATGACAGAATATGGCAGGCCAGATTGCATAGGACACTATGGGCCACAGTACAGAATTTAGATGTTACTCTCTGGGACCGCCTTCTAAGAGGAGTTACATGATTTGATTACGCTTGAAAGGACACTTCAGAGTGTGCATAGAGAGTGGAGACCAAGGTTGGAAGTGGAGAGATTCATTAGAATTTCAATAGGGCAGGGGTGAGAGAAATGTGGGACCGTACAAACATAAGTGCATCTTAAATGTGTGACTAGGCCGGCTGTACTGTAATATGTGTCTGTTGAAGGAATGAACAGCAAATGCTTGTTAACATTAAAATCTAGCAATGTGCTAAATTCTAGGCTCCATGATTTAGACATGAAACTAAAACAAAACAAAGTATTAGCAGTCCTTAAATTTGCACAGAGGCATAAAATTTTTCCTTTTATATGCTTTCCTCATTACAAATAATGTAAACAATTTGTCAATAAATCCAAACTTAGAAAAGAAAATTCTAGAATGTTATTACTGGAACATCTGATTTTTATAATATTTAGGCCATGGTTTCTCTGTGTAACGCTGGTTAGACTGAGATCAATAATGGAAGGTCTACCATTAGCAAGACCTTTTCATTAGTTGGCCAAAAAAAAAAAAAAAGAAAAGAAACTAGAGGAAAATACACAGAGTATGAAGAACTATCCTATATATATAGGATATTTACACTGGGATGTCTAATTACTAAATTTTTGGGAAATGAACTAAATATTAATTGTAGTTATTTTAAGGTACTTGGCCTATGAATGATTGTTTCCTAAGTCTTTTAGATTACTATAATTTTTAAAATTTCAAAAAGGACAAAATAGTAGTGTTTAAATTGAAAGTGAACATATCAAATACACTATCCAAAATTTTTTGATTTAAAAAACCCTGTATGTATTATGATAAATTTCACAAAGAAATATGGCCTATGATGGAAACTAGTATTTAAGTTTCTGAATTCTCCGGCATTTTGTTAAAGGGGGCTTTTGTGAGTATAATACATGACATACTCATCTAGTAAGCTGTAAATCATTATAGTTCCTAAATCAATTATTCATACCTTTGATTTAGTAACTTCTAGCATTTCATATTCTCTCATGAAATTCTTAAGTTAGCAACAAATTTAATGCAATACAATGAAAAATTCTACCATGTAGAAAAGAAAAAACTATAAAAAGTTAAGCAAAAGAGTGCTACAAATCCAAAACAAAGAAGAAATCTCTGCCAGAAAAGTATACTTGATATTAACCTGTGAGAAATTGAGTTTGCAGAAAAATGGGTTAAATAAAAAGAGAGAGCAAGGAAAAGGAAATAAATCTAGTGTGTTTTGTTTTATTATGATACTTGCATGTGTAAACAACAGAGAGGAGGTTAGAAGAGTATTAAATATAGTCCAGTGGATTTTCTTTTGATGTAAGAGGAGTTTGGACATTATTAAGAATGGTCTGTACTATATGCCACTTTTAATGCCTTATATTTTAAATGTGCCTTTTTATTTTAAAATACTTAATTGACAAATACAGATTAAAAATATTCAAGGTATACAGCATGATGGTTTGTTATGTACACATACACACTATGTAATGGCTACCATGATCAGATCAACACATCCATCACCTTCCATCATGTGCACTAGATCTCCAGAACTTAATCATCTCATAACTGAATTTTAAAATTTTGGGGGGATTATTCTTTCTTATTGATGTACATTAAATTGTCCACAGTAAGGGTTTCATCATGACATTTCTATACATGCATATAAAATACTTTGATCATATTTACCCCCATTACTCTTTCTTATCATCTATCCCCCAATTCCCTCCATTCTCTCCCCATTTCCTTTCCCCTTCCACCTTTCTAGTTATTCCCCATTTACTTTCATGACCTTGATTGTTTTGTTTTGTTTCCTCTTAGCTTCCACAAATGGGAGAAAACATGAAGATTTGTTTCTGTGGGACTGGCTTATTTCCGAAAACGTGATAAGCTCTAGTTTCATCCTGTTTTCCAGCAAAAAACACAATTTCATTCCTTTTAAGACTGAGTCAAATTCTATTATGTATCTATACTAAATTTTCTTGACTCATAACTGACTGTTTTTACTGAGCCTCAATGTCTAGATAATAATCAACAAGTATGTGGAATGTTGCAATTTACCTTTGTGACTCACAAGGAATGAAATTACAAGTTTTAAGGCATCACGGACATTTCAAATCTTAGTTGATTTGAAAAGTGTAAAGGCTTCCCTTTACACTTGGGAAGCCATGTGGCATAGAAGCATACAAATATTTAATAGAAATGTGTCCCAAATGATGGCTTACCTGAAATTTTCACTTGAGACACAACACCATCTCCCCCATCACTGTGTGCTCGAACCTCTACCACATACTCCCCATCTCGAGGGATGGGGACTTCTATGGAATGTTTGTGAGTTGAGTACAGCTTTCCATCATGCTGGCCATCAGGTCTATAGAGTACCTTATGGAGTCCAAAAATATAAATGCTTAATAAAGGAGTAACAATGAGCCAAGGCCCTAACATCAGATAAAACGTTCTCTATCAATTTTAATTTTTTCACAGATACTAAAGTTTAATATCTGATGCAAAATGTGATATCATACTATGTAGACAACATCTGAAACTAAGCTTTTCCCCTTTTCATTGGCTATGTTCTGGACAATGGAGTCATAAGCACTGCCCCCCAAAATGAATTCCTTACAACTTTCCTTCTTAAGCACTGGTTGCTCTAACAATTCTATTCTTTAAAACAATGATTGTTTGTCTTACTCATTTGACATGGCATTTTCCTAAAATTCACTGAAGATACTTCTCATTTCAAAATTTATTTTGAATTATGTCATCTGATTCAGCTACATAGGTAGAGTAAAATAGCTGAATAGGTTTTGCTGAAATAGAAGCAAGAATGCAGCTTGTGTGGAGAGTAATCCAGTCATCTTTTATGTACCTTATAGCCTGTCACTGTAGATTCATTTGATAGTGCAACAACATGGTCCCAGGTGATTATGTAGCGTGAACCAGACCTTACTGAGCTGATGATCCTTGGTGGCTGGCTAGGAGCTGTGGAAAGTAATAACATTCAATTAGCGGTCACTATATCCAACCTCAGTTCTACAGACTTCATTGCATTAGGAATCACAATGCTGATGATTACCATGCTGACAACAACAACAACAGGACTGTGCTAAGTGCTGTATATCCACAAGCTCCTTTATGGCACCCAGTGACCTTGTAAGGGAAGGAATATAATATCTTTTAAAAAAATATGTACCAACTTCTTTTCTAGCAATTCTACCCAGTGAACCTACAAAATACTTAAAGATGTGTATACAAGGATATTCTCTTTTATTTAAAATATTGGAAACAATCTATCCTTTAATAGCAATTGGTTAAATAGCATTGTTCAAGTATACCTAAAGATTTTAATGACATTAAATGTACACAATATATTACTTCACTAGAAAGCAGTATACAAAACAGTATATATATAGAACCATCCAGTGACACAATATTATATGTGTATCCATTATAAAATGGCTAGGAAATTGTCAAAATAACATCTTTTATTTTCTTCTCATCATGGTCCACTTGGGTTTCTTTCTCTACCAGTCTTTTGAAACTGCTGTTTTCAAGGTCAGCAAGCACCACCACTTGGCTATATCTGTTATGTTTTGAAACTTAAATCCTTGGTTATTCTACAGATTTAACATTCCACGGATTTGTACTTATTTTTTCTTGAATTTCTGTTCTTTTCTTAAATTCAGTGTTTCTCCTCTGGATTTTCCTTCTACCTCTCCTGCTGTTCCTTCTCATTAATCATGCTGAGTTGGCTCCATGTCTTCAGTTTAAATTCTGAGTGTTCGAATGACTTAGAACTTGATCCTGTGCATCATTCTTCTCTGTTTGTGAGTTGTTCCCATGAACATAAATCTGGGCCTGTAGCTTTAAAACTCACAATCTATCTCTAACCTTCACTTCTTCTCTTTCTTCACTTCTACATATACATGCCCAACTGCCTATTTTTACTTGTACATCTGAAAGACTTCTCAGATGTCATGCAATCAAGGCAGATCATTTTCATGTTCCCCTTAAAGTAACTCTTGTGAAAATTTCCCATCTTTTTGCACATGGCATAATCAAACCACCAGCTTATCAAACAATAATTTGTGCTCATTACAACTTCAGGTCACCATTAACAATTCTTAAATAATGAATGGCCTCCTAATTAACCCTCCTGTTTTCACTCTTAACTTATCACTATCCATTCTACCCAGAGGACAGAATAATTTTTAGAAAGCATAAGTTTGACATCACACCCTGTCTTAAAATTTTCCAATGGTTTCTTATCACAGTTAGATCCCAAATTTCTTACTATGGCTTACAAGGCCCTCCATATTTTGAAATCAGCACACTTCTTCCTCTTCACCTCCACAGCTAAAACATTTCAAGTCTTCTTTCACCTTAAGATTTTGCTTATTCTCTCTGCTGGAAACAACATTTCCCTAGCTCTTAACCTATTTTGTGTCTTCTCATTAGGAGATACTCTGTGCTCAAGTGAATTTCCTAAGTTTGAAACCCTAACTGGTAATCATGACTAAGGGTTCTTGTGAAAGTTTCTAGATCCTGTATAAACTTTTTATATGTTCAATTGGACTTAGGAAGAGAGATATCAAAGTAAAGCAGGAGCATGGCCAGAAGATCTTAGTAGAACAGGTGGTCTTTTTAGATGAACAATGAGAATGTGCACTAATGAGAGGGAACATAATATTGTAACATCTAACTTGCATTCTCATTGTGCAATGATGGTTTGTAAATTAAGCATGGAAATAAGCAGAAATTTAATTTTCATATGTTGCCAATGCACTCCTATGAAAAAATGTTAAAATTAAATACAGAATGCAGACAAGTTAATTATCTAATGGTGCACAGTTAGAAGGGGAGTCTTTCCAAAGGAAAGTTATCTAATTTTATTGCAAAAGTATATTTAAGGCATTCTTCACATTTTTGCATTATCTACAATAATTAATAATGCTTCAAAATATCTTGTGTCTCTAAATGATATCATTGAAAACCAAATGTGCACAGGTAGCTAGGTAGGAAATTTCTCTCGAATATGATTGCATGATGATTGAATAAAATGGTAGTTTTTGACAAGTCTATATCAAATATGATACTCACGTGCTTTCCTGGTGAAGGTCTCAATCACGTCACTTGAGGGTCCACACCCTGCACTATTGCAGGCTCCAACTTCCACAAAGTACTGAGTGTCCGGCAGAAGGTTTTCCAGCCTGGCTGAGTACTCTTGACTGGTGACTTGAACCCGGTGTGCAGCTGCCTCCTTGTCATGGGCGGCCCAGTACCGAATCTAAAAACATCCAAGATGAGTAATGTCTGGCCATGATTCAGACTCTTCGCTTGTTAAAAGTTCTTTTCCATTGGCTCTGATCATTGGTGTTGGATGAAACCAGAGTCTCAATTGTTACATAATGACATTTACCATTTTATCAGTCTTAGAATATGGCAATCTAATTAAAAACATCAAAAACAAGTCAATGGGCAGGGAGCAGAGTTCAAGTGGTAGAGTGACTTGCAGGCAGGAAACCCTGGGTTTAATCCTCAATACTGAAAAAAAAAGGCTCACCTCATTGACTAACGTAGTTTTCATTGACCAGAGAGAGAGAGAGAAGGAGAAACAGGGGAAGACAGAGACAGAAAGAATAACCCCAAAGCTCTACATAAGGTTTATTTTCAAAATAATAAAAATGTATCTTTAGAGATATTTGTGACAATAATCTTGATTATTATCTCTTTAATTTCTATATACACATGGTCTCAAACTTGTTGTGATAAGGAGTTTGACAGAAAAAATATACCTTGCTTAAAAAAATCATTATCTGACCTACAATATGACAGCAGAATAATTTCTTCTAGATCCTTTGTAAAATATGCATTTATAGGTGTTTCCTTTTATCACATGTAAAAGAAATACCAAAGATATCTACCTAGTAACTTGATACGCTATAAAAATAATTTCTTAAAGTATTTTTTAAAATTTTATCCATGTTCTGATTAGATATGATTTCTTTTATGAAATGACTTCAGCTTTCCTTCTGTCCTAAAGTTTAAGAAAAGTTATGAATTATAATTAGGTCCTTTAAATAAAGGCTTTGGGGGAGATCAGAAATCTTTAGTTATATCTCAGGCATGAATAACAAAGAATTATTTAGAAGTATATTGGTATTTTACATGTTCTAGGTACCTTATATAAAATAATGGGGTTTTCATTATACAATTAGCCAAAATATTAATATAATCCTAAACCTTCAATTTCTATATACACATGAAAAATTAGAAAATGGGACTAGATAACCCAAATTCATTTGGCAAAAGTAAGGTTAATATCTAGGATGCACTACATATTTACATAAAAGCTAAGACTACTTATTTATTGGTTTTCTTTGTATTATTCTTATTTTGTTTACTAATAATCATCTTTCTAGTATCTTTTGTTTCAATTGAATTTCTTAAGCATTTCTGTCATCTGACCATAAGGACAGAGGAAGTGGAAATGTACCCCTTGGCTCCCAGACTAAGCTGAGTTGACAGAGAAGACACCCTAGCTTTCTAGATTAGCAGGAGCCTCCTTGTTAATGCAGTAGTGTTTCAGTGCTGAAGCATTCAGGCAGTGACTGCACTCATCAGAGCAGGAGGAAGAAACAACTACACATACATAATTCTGAAAGGAGCTAAAAATTACTTTGCTGTCATATTCTAGGTCATGTAGTGAATATTTTTGTTAAGCTAGGTAAATTTTTTCTGTCAAACTCCTTATCTTAACAATTTTGAAACCCTGTAAACAGGAAATAAATAATCAATATTATTGTCACAAACATTTCTAAATATATTACTTTTATTATTTTGAAGGTAACTCTTATCCATGTCTGTGAGCATTTTAACTAGATAACATAGAAGGCCTTTTCCTTGTTAAGGAGAAGAAAAATAAAATGATCATTTATGTTCTAAAGAAATGCCAGGCTCTGCATTAGAATCATCCACACAGATTACTCAACAAACCTATGATGGTAGAATTCATCTTGTCTTTCAACAATCAAAACTGAGGCTTATTAGGATCCTGATTTTTTTTCTTCTTTTTTCAGTGCTGAGGATAGAGCCCAGGACCTTGCACATGCTAGGCAAGCCCTGTGCCACTGAACTATACCCTCAACCCTTTTGTTTCTATTTTGTTTTTTGAGTCAAGGTCTGGCCACTACCTTTGCCTGGGCTGGCTTTGAACTTACATTACTCCTGCCTCCCCCTCCTCAGTAGCTGGGATTACAAATGTCCACCACCATGCCCAGCAGTTCCTGAATAATAATATGCATGTTTGTTCCCTGATATGCAAACTACATTTTAAAACACCATTCCATGATAACTACTTTTATATTCAGTTTAAAGAGGGGGGGTTATAGGCTTGATTATTATAATAAAGGCAATTTCTATAAGATTTATATACTAAAATAAACAACGAAAAATATTTTCTGCCATTTTGCTCAAAATTCCATTTGCATTTAGCAAAACAAAAAGAAAGAACAAAGCATTCCTTAATTTGCTCCTTGGAATTATATTTTAAATGACCAGTTCCTTTATTCATCTGATTCTGGCAAGAATCTATGTATCCACAGTCTCTATTAAAATTCGTAATCAACTGAAGGAGTGATTAGCTACCCTGTTGTAACTTGGGAACAGAAAGAGTTACAGAGTATAGCAAATAATCCATGATTTCCCTATATTCCAGTGTGAAGTTAGATGACATTTTTACCTGTGTACTTAACCTTTACAAATGAAAGCATCTGATACAGAATAGTTTGACTGCATATCATTAAGCATATGTTTACACAAAACTTATGTTTCAAAGAGTCCTAAAGGAAAGAGTCCAAAGGATTCCGTGTCTAATGTTGACTCACAATAGTGCTTATTTGCCAATTATGGAGTTGTCTCAGGACTTATCTCTCTGAATTCTTACTAGATTATAAATTCAGTATAAGTGTATGCTATTTTCTAACACTGTGTGTGTAAGTCTGGGTTTTGACACATGGTACTCATTCATTCACTGAACAAATATTTATTTGGATATACACAAATGTGTTGTTTGCCTTCATAGGTAATGCTTTCAAAAAAGGAGTAATTAAAAATGTCTAGGTTCACATATTATTATGAATATCATTGATAGAGAACTGATTAATTTTTCTCTTCATAAAAGTATTAGAAAGCAAAAGAAAAGCCTCAGAAAAACCTAACTTCTATTTTTAGTAAGGAATAATTATACTTACAACAAATTTATGGTCTATAATATCATCAATTTTACCCAGGAAAACTCAAGAACTTTGTAAGAAAAGCAGCTCTTTTAACCTCATTTCCTGATGAATAACGTAATAGATACCATGGATGATAGTATCTTGAAGTTCTTAAAGATATTTAGCAGTTCTGAACACTAGGCTTGCTCCTTTTATAATGCGCTGCTTCTGGAAGCTTTTATAATGGATCTCTAAGTTATTTCCTTTAAATTATGAATTTTTTCTATTCTAAAAATAATTCCTGACATGGGAATATTCCCCTATTAAGGATGTAATAATCTGTAGGAAAAGAATCTAAATATGGTATTTAAGTAAAATAAAAGTGAGACCAACACACAAAAAACACTTGATCTCTATGTATAACAACTAAATTTTCCAGATACCAGACTAATTCAAGTATTAGTACATTCTATGAAAATTAATAGTAATAACATAAATTATTAAAAATGCGTATTTGCATGCCTCTGGGAAACAACTCAGAGTTCCATTTTATTTCTGCTACTGGTACAGAAGCCAACCAGTTCTTAGCTGGCTCCAAGAAGCTTCATGCAAACCCAAGACAGAACTTTTCCTTCACTCCTCTGCCAGTGCCACACCTCTGTCCATTCAGGGTCGCCCTTCACTGTAGTGTGAAACTTGCTCAGGAGGCACTGGACGTGGGCAGGAAATGATGTCCATAAGACAGTGGGGAAAGAAGTGGATGGATGCTCCCCCTTTATCCTAGGCAGGGCAGTTGCAAAGCACATTTGCCAAGTTCCTGAAAGGTCTCAAGGGTGTAGTCCCACTTGTCCACCATGGATAAAGCATCTTTGCGTCTGAGCTCTGCCATTTCCTGTTCACCAGTCTTTTCCTCCCACCTGCTCTCTAGGATCATATTTAAAAAAATAAACGAACAGTAATAAAAAGGCGCCTTTTTCCATGTCATTGTGTTAGGCTTTGCTTTGAGGAGCTGCAGACTAATGCTTTCTATAAAATGATTAAGCACTCCCCAATATCTTGTCTACCACAATAATTTGGCCTGTAAATACATAACAGTAGACTGCTCAGCGTTGTTCATTTTTATGATGGTTGTACATTAATCATTGGTATTAATCTCCAATTTAGCTGCTAAGAGTTTTTACATTCATTATTTCAGATAGTTTGTTTACTTATTTTCACTAAACTAATTAAATGAATGTTTTACTGGTGGGTGATCAAACCAAAAATCTTTTGTGGATTCCTGGGTAGCAGCATTTACCTTTTATAAGAAGGACACTTTTGTATTTTTCTAGATCACCTATACTATAGAAAAATTCACCAAGTATTAAGATTGGAAATGGGGAACTCTTTGAAGAAAAAGACATAAAAACAAGTGACCTTCAGATTTTGTACTTAGATACATTTTAAAATCTACAAAGGAAGAGAAGAATGTTTTTAGGCTCAATTACCTACAATGCTCCTTTGAAATATCAGGAAATTAACCTTGAAATGGGTCAATTACACAGGACTCAGGATGTCCTCACCTTTATATTTTATTGTCCAAGTATCTGGGAATTATAGCTGGGATTTCAACATGCCTGCTTAATATTTTATTTTAAAATTTTAATGCATATAACTTAGATTCATCATACATTTTCATAGGGTGCAGTGAAGTAATGTTTTTCATGATCATCTATCTTGTTAAACCATTGGCTTTTCCCATATTTCCAATATTTCCCATATTGTAGTCAGCTAAGTTTCCCCAAATACTTTTATAGAAGCATTTTCTTATAAGAAAAATAAATGGTAATGATTTTTCACTTTTAAACTTTCATGCTTCTCTTTTTGATATTCAATGGTCTGCATGGAAGACATGAAAGGATTTTAAGAAAGTATAAATAGAATAATTCTATGACTGTAAATCATCCATTCTCTGGAGAGGCAAGACCTAGATTAAATTCTGCTTAAGACAATTGTTACTCAATTGTTAGACAATTGTTACTTGAGGCTTATTTGTAAGCCTCAAGTCCATCATCCTTAAAATGGAGATAGTAAAATTGTCTGTCCTTTAAGGTTGTATGAAATCAATACAATGAACTTAAATTGTTTAGCATAGCAAGATCTCAACAAATTGTAGCATTCAAATTATAATCATTTCCATCATTGTCATCATCTTTAAATGCTAATAATATAAAGTAGGGAAAAGCTTAAATAGCACAGCAATCCTATGAAATAATAATGATTCTTTTTCAGTTATATAGGTGAGGAAACTGAGACAGGTCAAATAAATTTTCCACAAAATTCCTAAGATCTAAGCTGATATTACAAACCCATGTCTTCTCAGTAACAAAGTTCATAACTTTCATGGTGGTGTAAAAAGTGAGAATCTGTGAAACCAAACTTTTCCCTAGAACACACTGTTCCCTTGAAACTATCCTGTGAGAAAAATCTTATTTGCTAAAGGTCATTTTTTGCTACTTGAGAGTTTTTAATTGAGATTTACTTTCCAATCAAAAAAGCTTACATTCTGATATTATCTAAATCAATGATATTTAGAGTCCAGGCTTCCTTCCTTTTAACTGTTGTCTCATTGAGATGATCAAAATATCAAATTTTGTTCTTTTTTATTTTTTTCATTTGCTGAAAATGAGTAATACAAAAGAAGTCCTGTTGTCCAAATTTTGACTTTTGAAGCACCAAATATTGATTTTTTTTTCTTCCAAAGACACTTTGGACTTATTTGTTACAAGAATTTGTATCAACTAGTGTCTCTCTCTGTCTCTCTGTCTCTCTCTGTCTGTCTCTCTCTCTCTCTGATATTTCTTTTCTTCTTGTTATAATGTTATTTCAAGATTAGGAATACTGAATATTCTAAGTCTCCTCTTATCTGCTGTCATTATTAATTCATCTGAACCCTTGAAAAGATTTTCTGAAGACACTTTGAGATCTACTTAAGTAATGAATTATGGTGCCAAAAAACTTTTTAGTCTGAGTACTTCTGCCTAAAGGCTTTTGTTGATTTGTGGCTAGATCTCAGAAAAATACCCTAGAGAGAACAAATTTTAACACTGTATTTGATCACACTTCCTTATTCCCTTCAGTACTCAATGAATATTTATTTAGTGCCTACATATGCCCAGTCCTGCTCTCAGCAGTAAGAACAAAACAGAGAAAGTCCTACCCTTGTGGAACTAATAGTCCATGGACACAGGAGATGGGAACACACGAAGTAAGAGACCACCCTGGCCGGCCACTGGGCAGCTCCAGAGCAGTGCTTCCTATCCACTCACTGAGTTAAGCAAGAGGGAGTCCATGATAGAGCATCATGTCCAAAGCTTTGAATCAGAAAATCTGAGTTCTAGACACTGCTCAGACACTGTTACTGACAGTGGAGGCAAGTTGTCACATCTTTTTTGTATCCATTTGCTCACCTTTAAAGGGAGGTGAAGCCAATTCCTGTGAGTTGTCACTTTCCTATAGAATCAAGTCTAACTTGTGTTGGCATTAGTTTAAATCTCCATCTATCCTTCTAGTTTCAGTTTTCTAGTTCTGACCCTCTTACTAAGAAGGTAAGCTTTCCCCTTGCTACCTAGCTAACTCAGACTGGTCATCTAAGACTCGGCTCAAGGGAAGATTTCTTTGGAACATTTTGATTGTTTGCATTTTTCAAAGATCAGATTCTGAAACATATTTGATATAATTATAATGATCTCCTTCAAAGGAATGTTTAGAAGGGAAACTCATAAGGGAAGTTGGATGACCATATTAAATATGCTGATATAAATTATTAAAGCGCTTTACAAAATCTTGAGATTTACCAACATTTTGTGAGAATATTGTCTTTTTTTGGCAGGGGGGAGGGGGTGACAGTACTGGTATTTGAACTCAGAGCCTCACATTTTCAAGTGGTAGTGTTCCTACCACTTGAGCCACACCCCCAGACCTTTTTGCTTTAGTTATTTTTCAGATAAGGTCTTGTGTTTTGTGCCTGGGCTGGCCTTAGACTGCAAACCTGGGATTACAGGTAGGAGCCAACTGAGAATGGTTGCTTTAAAAGATTTTGTCTAGGAGTTGGAAGTGTAGCTAAGTGGTAGAGTACTTGTCTGTGGTGCCTGAGACCCTGGGTTTGATCCCAGCCCCATTAAAATTGTCTTTGGCTGCTCATGAACATTATTATTTAGTCTTTTTTTTGGCCAACTGTTTCTTTTCATCCCTCCTGCATAAACCAGTCAGGAACCTCTATTGATAATATTTGCACATATTTAGTGGTACATTATGTTAATTTAAGACATGTATGTGATGTGTAATAATCATGTCAGTGCTTATAAATTCCCCAAACACTAAACACAGAGACAGTGTTAGGTATCACATCCACCGATAGGTACACAAGACAGTAAAGATGCAGTATCTTCGAAAACTTATTCCTGTATGTTGATGAGTAAATGTATTTAACTTTATAGAAGATTGAACTCACCTGATAGCTTTCCACTATTTTTTCTAAAACATGCTTCCAGTGAACTGATATCTCCGAAGACGATAGGACTTTGACACCTACTTCTGTCGGGGCTTCACTAGGAGCTGAAATTTGGTGAGGATATTATGGCTTAGTAAGATGTTTACATAAAGAAATTTGAATAAAACTGCTTTGTGAATGAATTACAACTATACTTGATATTTTAAAAATAAAATAAGATCAGTATTTTTGTTATGTCTTCCTTTATTGTTAATATTAGTATATTTCATTGCTACAGGTGATACCTGCACATACATATTCATCCACACGAATGCTCTGCAGACATACACACTTACACATGGGAAGCTTCCTGGATTACTATCTTATCTACAAGCAATAACCAGTACTTTTTATTTCTCCCAACAGATACATTTAAGAAGGCCTTTAGATACAAATTAAAATTAATTATATTTAGTTTATCAATTACACCTTTCCAAAAGTAAGAAATTTTTTATTTATTTAGAAAATTATTCATTATAATTAATTTTTTCTTACTTGCTATTTAGATGATCTAACAATACATGGCAATATTAATAATAAAAGTTTCCTCTTTATGCTCAAGATAAGATTTTAAAAATATTTTTAAGATCTTTTCAAACAAGTTGTGACACCCTCTATTTCTTGGGCTCAGGAAAGCTTTTTATATGTCTAATCTTCCCAACTGGGCATCAAATCAAATATGTATCAAAAAGGCCTCTGTTCAGGAGAAAAAAAGTAATTTACATCTCTTATGAAATTTACACAAAGAAACCAAGGAAAACTTTAAGCAGGGGTGATCAGTTTTTATTGCCTTTCATTAAGAAGCCATAATCCTATTTAATGTTAAAAAATGTCTTACACATGAACATTGTTGCCTTTCTAAATCAAAGTAAACATGCAGCGCTGTGATTGATTTCCTACCAGTAGAAGAAAGATTAACAACTTGTACAAGTTTCAGCACATGCAAGTTTTATGAGACTCATGAAATATTTATGAAAGAAATATAATTAAATACAAATGCCCATGACTAAATAGATGACAAGTGTGGCCTTTGCCGAAAGCTTACTTTAGCATCAAAAAAAGCAGTAAAAAATTGATATCAGATGAAACGATAACTTGTAAAATACTTTAACTTTCAGTTTCTGTGGGAGATGTAGTCATGTTTTTCAAATTATTAAAATAGAATGAAGTTACCACATTCCTGTTGAATAAGTACTGGCCTAGGGAATGTAATTTTTGACATCAGGACTCTTCCATTGTTTGATTGTAAGCAAGTTATTTCTACTTTTTAATTATTTTAAAGGGTTTAGTTGAGCCAAGTGACTCATATGGCTGCCTTTCATGCTTGCACCTTTTACATAAATTGTACTGTGCATACAGAGGTATGAACTTGATTTTATGTGGTATGAGTATAGTAAAATGACATGTTTGTATTCAAAGTACTGGTCATGGGATAATTAGAATGCATTATTACACTTTTGATAAAGACAAAACTAATATGTTTCTGACTGAAGAGTGTAAGTGAGAATTTTTATTGAGTTCTAAGGAATAGCTCTACATTTATTTTGGAGAGGCAAACCCTCTAAGAGAACAGAAGAGTACCTTAAAAACTTTTATTTTATTTTAAATGGGTTTCATTTTAATATTTTCATACATGCATACAATGTATTTCTATCATATTCTCCCTCCTCACCCTCTCTTTTCCCTCTCCACCTCCAACTCATCCCCTCCCCCAATTACTCCCCATTTATGTTCATGCCCAGTTTTTCTTTCTTTCCTTCTCTCTCTCTCTGTCTCTCTCTCTTCTCTCTTTTCTTCCTTCCTTCATTTCTCCCTCCCTCCTTCCATCCCTCCCTCTTTCCCTCCCTTCCTGTCTTTCTTCCTTCCTTTCCTTTCTTTTCCGCCTTTGGTACTGGGGGAATTGAACTCAGGACCTGTCACTTGCTGGACAACCCCTGTACCACTTGAACCACAACTCCAATCCCTTTGCAAAATTTTTGTTCTTGAATTCTTCCATTTGTGTTCCTCCTACGTCTGCCAAGAGAAACTTGGTCAAAAGTAAATGGTTTAGATCAGAAGGCAATGAAATTTTTATTTGCTTTTCCAGCTATTAATTATTTACATACTCACATGAGTAAGTAGACATATTATGGAGGTTTTATCTTTTTAAATAGGTAGATTAAATAACAAAAACCTTAGCAGCTTAAATAGGAAATCATAAAAAATGCAATTATGTTTAATCTATAACTGTATGTCATTTAGCATTTATATAGAGGACTTTTTGTGCATGCTCAGTTTCCTTAAATTTTCTAGGAAAACAGAAAGTCAAGGTCAGTAATGTTTTTTTTTTCCCCTGAAAAAAGGGATACAAACTTATTCCTTTCAAAGAAATGTTTTCAACTGACTTTCTGATCCCCCTTTCATATAATTATATCTGGTTTCCCTTTTAAAAATTCTAGCACTTTATCATAGCAATGAAAACGTTAGATAAATGTTTACAATTTGAGTAAAAATTGGGGGAAATTTTATAAATAATCTGTTACAGATGTTATGAATACACAGACCACTGGAGTTCCAATTAAGTATGGAGAATTTCAGACTATAAAATCAAAATTATGAAGCCAGAAGTAGGATTCCTAAGCTAATTATTTTAAAAACATAATCTAAAGATGAAAAAAAAAAGATAGTTTTATTAACATTTTTGTCATTTACATGGAGAGGTTGACATTTTAACTTTGATTCAAAATAGTACTCATTTACTAAGTGTATACTAATATAAAAAGTTATTAATAACTAAGGCCTAAGTGAAAGTAAACTAAATCCCTGCCAGTGACTAAGATTTGTTTTTTCTCCTTCATCATGTTAGTAAGGACTTTCTTTTACTTACCATCTTGTGCTGAATTAATGACTGCTATGAGGCTGTAGGGTCCATCTCCTTTATTGTTGAAAGCCTTAACCTTTACTTGAAATGCAGTGGAAGGGCTCATGGTTTCATCCTTATGGACATATCTGCCAGTATCTGGATTAGTAACTGTAACTTTTTTCCATTCTTCTCCATCAAATGGCTTAAATGCCACTATGTAACCAAAGTTGTTGCCATAATGGTATTCTCTTGACAAAGGCTAAATAAAAATTTAAATATTAAATAGGTTTTAGTAATACAATTAAAAGAATGCTAGGAAAGTAAAGACACACACATGGGATGTATGTTCTTTGTAAAAACACTCTTAATTCATAAGGTAGTGCTTATTGAAAATGCCAGAGCAAAAATATGCTCCAACACATACAGACCTCATTTTCCAGGTAGCATCCTTGCTATTCCTTCCTTCAACACCCAGGGGCTCCCACCCCAGTTCTTTCTACTTTCAGTTCCTTCTACCTAGGAAATCATCCCAGATGTCACACAACTCACACCACTGAATAAACTATTGATGTTTTCTCAGTCCACAAAATCTGTAATTTCCAGACTCCAAAATACTCCATATCAACCTCCCTGCTTCACCTTTTTGCTTAAAGCTATCATGATTTAACACCATGTATCTTACTTATTTATGTACCTTACTATCTTCCTCAACTCCTAGGAAATAGGTTTATGAAGGCAGAGTTTTAGTCTATTTCCCTTCCTCTTTATCCTTAGCACCTGGAACAAATAATACTCTGTTAATGAATAAGTAAATGAATTTCTTTATAACGGAAAGAGAGTAAAGAGACTCTAGCATATTTATATTATACTCAAATAGAAGCTGATCATAGGAATAAAAAAGAGAAGGTGATAAGGATGAAAGGGTAACACTGTGTTCATTTGTAGGGGGTTGGCCTTGGACCCTATTGACTTCAATACTGAAGGAAGTGCTCAGTTTTGCATCATGGTCTCAGGGATTCTTATTACTGAATATGTAAACTTCGCAATATCAAAGTTTGGAATCATGAATGGTAGTGCATGCCTGTCATCACAGCTACTTCTGAGGCTCAGATAGGAGAAACCTCATGCTCTGAAGTTGGGCCAGACTCTATCTGAAAAACAAACTGAAAGCAAAAGGACCTGGGTTGTGGCTCAAGTGGTCGAGTATTTGCTTAGCAAACATCAGGCCCTGAGTTCAAACCCCAGTAAGACATTTGTGTCAATCCATTATTTATAAATGCTGATTTAAAGGTAGTTCTAATACTTGCTATTTAATTTTTTATAACCATTAAGATAAATATATAAATTGCATGTTTACTTATTTCAACCAAAAATCAAAGTTAACATGTTTTAGGACAAAAACCTTGAATTAAATATAGCACAATTGCTTGGATATGCTTAAGTTAAATAGGAAGATACAGAAATGTACTAAGGTCAGCGGGTACAAGCTTGACTTGAGTGCACAGAACAGAGAGCCTGAAATGTAATCTTTTTTTTTTATATCGTTTTTGCATTTACTTGCACATGTATACATTGGCTGGGACACCTTCTCCCCCCAACCCCCTCTTATGGGAAGACAATTTTCCACCCTTTTGTTCTCTGATTTTGTTGAAGAGAAAACATAAGAGATAATAAGAAAGACATAGTGTTTTTGCTAGTTTGAGATAAAGATAGCTATACAGAGAGAGTCCTAGTGTTGCTTCCATGCACATGTGTATTGCAAGCCACATTGGTTCATCTCTACCAGACCTCTTCACTACTTCCTAGTCCCCTTCTCATAGTGTCCTCTGTTAGTTTAACATTACTATATTTGCTCCTCTACTGTGAGCACATCAACCACATTCAGGTTTTAGGTTTTCCTCCCTTTCCATATTCCTCCCATGTATGGTATCCCTTTAGTGTGTGACCCACGTCCAATAATATTACTGCATTTGTTTTTGTTTTAGGTCTATAATCCACATACGAGGGAGAACAAGCAATTTTTGGTTTTCTGAGCCTGGCTAACTTCATTTCAGATAATGTTTTCCAGTTCCATCCATTTACTTGAGAATGATAAAATTTCTTCTTTGTGGCTGAATAAAATTCCATTGTGTATAAATATCACATTTTCTTAATCCATTCATCGGTAGTGGGGCATCTTGGCTGTTTCCATAGCTTGGCTATTGTAAATAGTGTTGCAATGAACATGGGTGTGCAGGTGCCTTTGTAATAACCTGAGTTGCATGCCTTCAGGTATATCCCTAGGAGTGGTATTACAGAATCATATGGTAGATCTACGTTTCGTTTTTTAAGAAGCCTCTGTATCATTTTCCAGAGTGGTTGTACTAGCTTACATTCCCCCCAGCAGAGCATGAGGGTTCCTTTTTCCCCACATCTCACCAGCATTTGTTGTTGGTGGTGTTCTTCATGATAGCTATTTTAAAAGGAGTGAGGTGGAGTCTTAGTGTGGTTTTGATTTGTTTCCTTTATGGCCAGGGATGGTGAGCTAAAGTGTGATCTTGAGGTTGTCCAAAATGTGATTTAAGATTATTAAATCTTACAGCATCTTAAACATTGGTCTTAATTTACTTAAATTTTGGAATCTAAAATTTAATACAATCAACTACGGAGATTTCAAAAATAAATGATTCTTCGGCCATTTTCCCCTAAAACTTGATTTTGAATTTTTGCAAGGTTTCTAATTCTGATTTCTTGACAAGGCCCATCTTATCATAAAGCATATACTTACTGGAGAGATCATATCACATGGAAAAGACTCAGATATCCTCATTTTTATAATATTTGTGACTTGGGGATGTTACGTTGATAGTAAAACTTAGAATTAAATAATCTGAAATTCAGGCTGGCGAAATGTGATGTTTAAAAAACTCTTTTTAAAAGATCTGATTTAAATGCCAAATATAAAATATGACTACACAGTAGAATGAAGTCGTTTTGCTAAATAGCCACTCATTGGATAAATTATGCAATTAGTGAATGATCACATGATTTATTACTGGAAGATTTATGCAAAAAATAAAACCTGTCATTTTTCCTGCAGTTCTCAAAATCCTTTGGAGCCTAAGTTGTGCTCCTTGACTAGCTTCAATGATTAACCAGTAAAAATATGTAATGAATCTATACAAAATATGTTACCTAGATAAATGCCAGATGTCTAATCCAGATAAATCTGTAATGTCAGAACCTTCCTCACCCCCTCCCAATATCTCTCCCACTTTGAAAATCCACAGAGATCATATTCTGATGTAGAACTCTACTTTGGGCCATGAAAGTTTAGTAATATATTTAATAATATGTTTGGATACCTCAGTAACAAGTTGCTTGGGTGACTTCCAGGACTGACCTATCATGACATACTAACCATCACAGTAAGCCTTCAGTGAGGAAGCAGCTTCCATCTTAAAAATTGATCTTTTGCTAGGAGCCAGTGGCACATGCCTATAATGCTGGAGGCAGAAATCAGGAGGACTACTCTTCAAAGCCAGCCCTGGGCAAATAGATCTCAAGACTCTATTGCGAAAATACCCAACACACACACACACACACACACACACACACAAAAGCTGGCAGAGTGGGTCAAGTGGTAGAGTGCCAGCCTAGCAAGCATGAGGCTCTGAGTTCAAAGAACTCAGAGAACTTTTTGGCAAAGTTCAGTCTTGCCAAAAAATTGATGTTTTAAACATTTTTATTAGCATATATTAGTTGAACAGGGGGCATTTCCATATATGCTTGCAATGTAGCTTGCTTTTAGGTTATTCCCAACATCATTCTTCCTCATCCTCCCCCATACCTAAAATGATTTTGATAGGTTCAATCTTCATACATGTATATAAAGTACATTAACCATATTCATCCTTCATCCCTCCTCCCCTTCCCACTAGTGGCCCACTCCCAGACAGGACCTGTTTTATATTCCTGTCCTTCATTATTTAAGTGTGTAAAGTCTGTAAGCTGAATTTTGGCCCTGGATTTTCAAGTGAGAAAAGTGTTAAAAATTATAATTGGGCTACCAGATGACAAAGAGTTCAAAATATCACTAGAATCAGATAATAGGATGTCTAAGCTTATAGGCTAACAGATTCCTTATCTTCTAGTATCTTTTTATGCATTTGAATTGCCCAGTAAGCCAACATAAGCTAGATGAAAACTGACATGTGTTTAAGAAAAAAATAGTAATTTATTCTCATTCACAGATTAAGTACTTGCTTTTATTCTCAATTTATTTCAGGAAACAAAAGTGGATATGAGATTAAACATAGGTAAGACACCCTATTATATGTGCAATTTATTAATACTTACCGCCCAAGTAATTGTCAGTTCTCTGTTGCTTCCACCCCCGCCTCCTACATCTGAAGGAGCCACATTTGGTGCTGAAACAAATAAGCAAACAAATACAGAAAATGATAACATAAATAAGGCTGTGAAGTTCTCCTGTTCATAGCATTCTTATTTACCATAAAAAACAGGAAATTTTCTTTGGCTAGGAAAAACAAGCTACACACAGGATCTACTCAGTTATAAAAACAATGGCTTATAGTAGCTGTAAGAATCTGTTTTCCACCAAAGTAAAATTTGATTTGGAGCCATAAGAAATATGCCAGTTTCCCTCAGCAAAGAACAGTGAAGCAAATTTGCCTCCACCATCTTTTTTTCTTTTCGGTGTCCTTACTTTTAATTTGATTCTGAAAAATTAGATGTACTCTGTTGAAAAATATTTTACAGATATTACACTTGAACCCTAGAAGCTTCTAAAAACTTCCCGTCATATCTATGCTTCATTCTACAAATACATATTATAAGACACCCCACATTTGCAATAACATTGAACAATGTTTCTTCAAGTATTGTAAATATGAGAAATCTAATAAATCTCTACCAGTGCCTCTTGTCTCTTCAGGAACCTTCCCCCATCAGAGATTCCAACTTTCTTTTCCCCATCCCCCTACACTATCCTTCAGTCTCAATGTGGAAACTCCACACTCTGCAGTTTATTTTCTGAAGAACTTTCCTGGAATGCTGCTTTTCCCTTAATTCCCAAGCCATCATCACACCCTTTCCTGCCACTGAAGTTTTAGAAGAACTGATATATGGCCTCTTTTTGTAATTCACCCCATAATCACTTTTTAATGGCTTACAATCTGTTTCCACTTCTTCGTGTTCTTGATACCACTTTCGCAAAAACCACAGAACTGATATCACAGCCAAGTCCAATGGGCCTCCTTTCTGTTTTCTTCTCTTCTTGAAACCCCTTCAGGTCAGGCACTGTGTCTTGTTGGCTTTGCAGACTTAACCTCTAACTGCAAGTGTGTTGATGAATAAAGCATCACTGGTTCCATGTGTCCATGGAAAATGTATGTTTTCCCACACACAGGCATTGTCTCAGGTTACATATCATTCCCAAATTTGTTAACACTTCGAAAAGATGAAATGTCCATTCTTGGAGTCCCCAAATCCCTTCCCAACAGCACCTAATCACACTTTCCTCACAGTCCTCAGAGCAAGGTAATGTTTACTGAGCTACAGATTCTGACAAATAACTGGGATTCTAAGAGACATACTTAGAACTTACTATGTTAGTCACACACGTTTTGTGTGTGTGTGAAACATGTACAATAATTGCACAGAAACAGACAAAAACATGTGCTTGCCCATATATACATAGACCTATATTATGATTTCTTTCCACACAAATTAATATGAAGCTTGAGAGACTTTAATTTACTATTCAAAAGTTACTTGATGAGTGCTAGAAGATGAAATGGGTACACAAGGATGTTAAAAGAGAAGTTATTTGTAGTTCTTTAGTTAAAATACATATTGAAGGCTGGTATCTTTAGATAACTCTGGAAAGTCTTCTAATCCCATAATTCATATTCTGAAGTTAAAACTCCACATGCTATAGAAAAACAGAAAGCATGTTGTCCTATAATCAGTGAATAAATCAAATATTGTTTCTTTAACTCTAAGTACAGGGGTCACAGGCAAATAATTTCATGAATAACTAATAAAATAATATACTGTAATTTATTAAATCAAATATTGCCTTGTTAAGGATAAATATATTTGCAAAGCATTTCTCTAATGTTTTTCATCACAATCAATTTTAATCTTTATTTAGAACAGAGCTAAATACAGAGTATGCTTATATCATACTGAATATTTTCCCACTTTACAATGTGAATTATGAGCACTTTTGAACATGCTTCAAGTCAGTAACTCAAGATTTATTAGCTTTTCAGAGATTGTCTAGTCCACTCATGTTGCTAAAACCAAGACAATAAACAAAGCTCAGAAATAAAGGTAACTGTATCTCTAAGTAGAGTCTTTTGCTATCTTGCTTAGATAGTTAATCACTCAATGTCCCCCATTTCACCTTGAATGCTTAGTTGTAGCCTCAGCAGGTTAGAGGAATTCTTCACAGATGAAATTGACACATAAGCTACATTTCTAACTTGAACCTGAGAATACAGCAGTTATTGTCCCATTTGTACTCAGAATTACTAAATCAGAAGGACCTGGCCACAGAGTGATTTGTTTCAGGGAAGTAAATCACCCTTAGCATAAGGACGCTTATTTAACTTCAGCTCCAGGGCATTTAACAGAGAACAAACTAGACATTCTTTAAACAATAAATCATTATAACAAATTTAGCTGAATACTTAGAAAAACACTGAATTACTAATCCTGAATAAGGAATATTTATAATTTCACTATGAAAGGTTAAAAATAGTCCTTTTGCCATCATTTCAGTCTAATAGTGATTCCCTTAGGATGTTTATAAGAGGGCCTCTCTGTTTTAATCATAGGTCAAAAAATTTTAAACAAAACATTTAAAAAAAAATCATATCAGTGCCATGATTCTTCTTTCCTATGAGAAGAAACTGAAGCTGCCAATTTTCCTCTGATACTTGGATGCTAAAATCATTCATATAAGTACCTCTTTCACTTTAATTTACATAAGAATTTCATTGTGATTTAAAATAAAAATTTTAGTAAGAGATACAAATGATTAAATATGGTCTGGCAGAGTGGCTCAAGTGATAGAAGGCTTGCAAGCATAAGGCCCTGAGTTCAAACCCCCGTACTGCCAATAAATGAATAAATATGGAATTTTAAAAGTGCTTGCATAAATAATGTTTTAATCTTGGAAAACAAGGATTCAAGTCTAAAACTTGCTTTTACTCTATCTTTACATACATATCCTTTTTTTTTTTTTGCTGGTACTGACATACATATCTTTAAGCACTTAAATATTTAACTCTGAAGCTCTATTAATACAAACAAATGAACTATAGAATTTTTAGATATTCAAGAGATGTTGATTCTTTGTAACTCATGAGATTCTGTTTTGATGGTGGAGCAGGCTTGCCCCCCACCTTGCTAAACTGATGTTCTTCCCTTTGTACATAAAGAAGGTAAACCACCTATTGGACACCCAAATCAGCACTTTGAAGTATAAAGAGTAGTAGAATCATTGCTGTCATGTAGGAAAGCAAATAAATGATCCCAATGAAGTTAATTACCTTGCTCAGGTTATACTACTCACATATAGAGAAGGTAGGGACTTTAATTCAAGTCACCTGAGAGATTAAAATCCATATTCTTTGCTTCTTTTAAATCAGATTATATCTATTTGATTATTAATGACAACTATCTTTAACACCGTACTTTACCAGCTGCAAAATATGCCTTTAGCATTTTTCCTTTCCTCCTATTATACAGTTTTTGAAATGTTAGAAAAAAGAAAATAAAAAGGAAATAGAAAAATGAAATGAAAGAGTAGAATATCCTCTTCAGACATGAAATTAAGGCTTAATATGTAGTGTGAAGTGTTGATTTTGGTTTTATTATTTTTCCTTTTTTCCTTCTTGGACTGACTTGAACTGGCAAATAAACACCAAAGTTGACAATATACACCCAAATGTACCATTTTTGGATATGGATTCACAAACTGCACATGGAGGACTATTAGCTTTGGGGAATTTGTCCTACAATGACATATTACTTCAAAGGATGCTTTTGTTATCTCTTTCTTACAGTTGGAATCAAATGGGTTAAAATCAATTACAAACACCTCTTTCAATTCTTAATTTGGAAGCATCCATCTTTATAATGCACTCATCTGAATCCAAAGAATACACTCAACCCATGCACTGAGATCTTGGCAATAAGTAATTAGACAGATAAGGACAGGTGCAGCATTGGATAATGTCACCTCTGTCAATCAGCAAAATGAGGCACAAGGTCAGCCTTTCCACCAAATGGGAACCAGCCTTTGTCCACATAACACACTGGCATCTCTGAGGGAGCTGGGGTAATGGTACATGACAAGACAAACATCCCCATTTAGAAAGTATTTTTATGTTCTTGTAAGAATGGAAAATGTAAATGCCAATTTTATGAACATTCAACTTTTCATGAAATAGGCAAAAAGGAAAACAATCGGGAAATTCTATTGAATTTTATTACATAAAATATATAGAATGATTCTTTTAAGATGATTTAAAAATTACACAAAATTATGACTTTTCTTCACCTCATTGCTAAAGTGGCCAGTTACAAAATAAATAGAAGTTCATATGTTTACAAACACACTAAGCTTTAAAATGAACATTAATAGCAAGGTAATTTTATTGAGTATTATGCCCCACAATGCTGCTTTCCTTGTGCTTTGTAGTCATAAAACAATCCCATAAAATAAATAATTCCCATTTAAAGATGAGAAAAGTAAGGATCAGCGAAGTTATGTAATGTGTCATAGGTCACAGAGCTTTCAAATGCTGTTACAAGCATCCCATCCAGGGATCAATGTCTTGGTTTTTAAAAAAGGTGTTTAAGAATAAAACCTTTACAGCTAGACAGATCTGGATTAAAATCCGAATCCTGTCTTCCACTAGCTGGGAATAAGCTTAACATTGCTATCTGTGAAAGTAGACACACTGTGAGGCCCATGGTACAGGTCTGTAATCCCAGTTCTCGGGAGGCTGAGGCTGGAGGATCTTCAGTTCCAGGTCAGCCTGAACTACATAGCAAGACTCAGCCTCAAAAAAATAGGAATAGTAATTTCATAAAGTTAATGTAGAAATTAATTGAAGCAATACTAGTAGAGGGCTAGGCATGGTATTTGAAAACATATGGCAAGTATGTAAACTGGGGTAGACACAAAAGTGGATTAAAAAAGATCCTAAAATATTTTCTGATGATAGATTACTAAATGTGTCAGAGGTTATAGGATTAATTTTTCCACAAATGAAATAAATGAACTTTCTCATTTTAACACTACAGATACCTGGAATTGTAAATGAGATTTAAATCATGTCATTTTTCTTTTTTGGCTCTGATAGTATTTAAAGGAAGTTATTTTCTAAGCATCCCTCTAAATAATGAAAGAGGTGATGCCTAATGAAGGTGATGCTGAAAAGAAATCAGTTGAAATTAACACCCTTGCCAAAATTTCAGGTTTGATATCACTTTGATACAATTTTTTTCTAACATTAACTGGTGTTAAGCACATTACTACTAGATATGGTATTAAATATAAATTATTTCCAAAATTACTTCTATAGATTCAGATACAAAAGAATTAAATTATTGTTCCTTAAAATGTACTTAATTTCATCACTTCTACTTTGAGATTTAAGAAAAAATCTAAGACAGACCTTATAGTAGTCGTGCCCAGACAGCCATCATCTGAGATAATAAGGATATTGTTTGCTAAAATTTCCTAAGAATGAGCCTTCTTTTTCTCTCTGCTCTTGCTTCATACCTGGCCCATCATGGCTGTTTATAACTTTTTCCACAACTTTTAATGAACTTCATTACCTCCCTTACTACAAAAACATTTCTAAGAATGAAAATAGAGGACCATATTTATCACCAGTGCCAAAGAAAGTGTCCTCCCCTCTGTGAACTATTTTTACTTCAAAAAAACTGGAGTTCAGGTAAGACTTGAATCAATCAAGTGATCACAGAAAACTAATCAACCTGCATGAAATAAAAAAGCTCTGTAGTTGAGATAGAAATATTAATGTTTTAACTGAAATGTTTGTTTAGGCCAACTTAATCACTTGGTATTTTTTGCAATTTTATTCTGAAAGTCAATGTTTGTTAAAACAAGTGCATGGTCTCTCAGTGTGAAATTATGTGGTCGAAACCACCAGTCAAGTCATGCCCCATTTTCTTCTTCTTTTTGTCGTCAAGAAAGGGCAGCTGTGTTCAGCTTCTGTCATACAGAAGCCTTTATTGCAAACATAGGTAGTTCTGGGGAATAATTAAAAAGAAACAAACCCAGGATCCTGGTTACGTGGTATCTGTGTTTTACACAGCTTCAACTTGGATTACCTCCATAACCCAATGAGATTTCTATGAGGTAAAGAAAAGGGAACATGTGTGTTCATTTTGTAGGTGGATATACTAAAACCAAAAAGAAAAACAAAAGATTGAAGTCACATCTAGCTTCAGAGTTAAGGATGAAATTCAAGTTTCTATCAGAACTCTAATGTTTGTTCATATAAATGGGTGAATTTTTAAGAACTCTGCTTGAGAAGCTGCCTTTTAGAGACAGCTGGGTTTGGACCTCACATTTGCTTATCTAGCAAATATGAGTTTCTGAGTTCAAAGTTCAAACTCTGGTGGCTCACGCCTATACTCCTAGCTACTCAGGAGGCAGAGATCAAGAGGATTGCAGTTCGAAGCTAGCCCAGACAAATAGTTCTGAGAGACCCTATCTCGTAAAACCCTTCACAAAAGAGGGCTGGTGAAGTAGCTTAAGGTGTAGACCTTGAGTTGAAACCCCAGTACTGCAAAGAAAAACAACAACAACAAAAAAACAGTACTGAAAGAGAGAGAGAGGAGACGGGAAGGGAGGGGAAAGGAGAGGACTCAAAACTCAATGTATGAGACTTGATGTAGGAGAAGCATTGTCAGACAGATCTGTATTTGAATTCTAAATCTTGCTAGTATATGAACTTAGATAAACTGTGTCTGAGAATACTCCCATTAATGAGCACACAAATAGCTCTTAAAATATAATGATTTATATTTTAATATAAATTTTATTATATAATTTAATTTTATTTTTTAAATGAAATGCAGGTGAAAGTATTCCACACAGACCAGATATTTAAATGATGTTTTCTTCCTTTACTTCAGAATCATCATTTTTATCTGAAAAATTCCATGAAATTGCATAAAACTCTAAGACAGTCTATTGATGGCAGTCCCTGCCAATTACTTGGCTTTAAAAACTAAAGACATTAGAGCTTATAATTCTATTTGGAAGTTAGGCCATGGAATTGAAGGAGCCAGAAATGTGGATAAGTGATATTAAGAAATCACAGGAGAATTTTAATGGCAGTGTGTCATCGCCTTAAAATCTTTTCCCCCAAATAAAGCACTAAAGTTTGGCAAAGGATAGACAAAATAAACAAAATGAAAGTCTATACAAATATTTTTTGACAGATAGGGGATAATTAAAAGAAGAGCTATCACTATAATCAGAATAACAGTTTGCCTAAAGGGAAAAAGAGTATTTTTTGCAGTTAAGAATATTTAAATGAGTTGATATTAGCATATAGATATAAACCTGAATTGGAAGGCCAGCAGCCAAGGTTGAGCCAGGATAAAAGAGCTATTTAGAGTGACTTAGAACTTAAAGGAATACAGCCTAATTTCTTGGACATGTTATGGCTTTCCAAGTGACCTGTTCCCATTACATTCTCTTTATTTCCTCCCTGCCTACACCCGCTATCCACGTGGGCTTTCAGGTATAAATGGCTTTGTGGAGACATACAAAACTGTGAAAGTTCTAGAACATGAAACCTGTCCAATCCAGTCTGCCTACTTAATATTCAGAATTTATGCTAAGGTTTACATTCTAACTACAAACTTCATTTAAATAGTTTCTGGTAGAATATGCAGTAGTTTCTATTTACCTCTTCTCCAATATTAATTATGTAAAAATACCCATAAACTTCATTTTTCCATTTTTTAGTATTTAACTATTGGCATAGAATAGATGCATGTGAAATATATATATTATATATACACACAGCGCTTTTTAGAGGAATCGCTTACTTCAGAGTATTATTTATTTCCACCTATACCCCACCTATTAAAGTGACACTGTATTTATAAACCTATTAAAATTTGACAAGTTTCTTTTACATACCGGCGCCATCTGTTTTAATTCTGTGTGATGGTATACTGGGCTCTCCTATACCCAATGTATTGGTTGCTACCACACGAAATTCATACTCCATCCATGGGATTAAATCCACTGCTTTTGCTGCCTCCATGTTTCCTTCAATAATTGGGGGATCTAAATAAGAAAAACATTAAATAGAGATTGTTAGTTGACTAAGTTCTCATTTTCAAAACTTAGTTTTCTTTTTTACTTTTTTTGGAGAAAATGGTGAGTATACAGAATTGAAGTTAAAACAGCATCTAAGGACAAAAATGTTAATTGCGAGGGAGTGAGAGGAGAGGTTGATAACAAATAAGAATCTAGAACGAGTGATATGCATATGGCTTACCTAGGTATCAAGCTTGAGGTGGGAGGACTGAAATTCTGCACTTCATATGAACTGTCAGGTCATAACTTCTCTGTAACTGGACTAAACTTTGAGTAGCAAGGAGCTATTCTGGAGGTAGAACCTAGAAAGATTTACTGAGGCCAGGGTATAGCTGGGCTAGAAATTTTATGAGCCATCACTGGTATAGTCTATGGTAGCAAATGGTTTATTATTAGGGTAAAAAGGATAATGTGTACAACCATTTTAGGTGGCTTTGTGTTTATACTTAACATCATTCTGAAGCAGTAATAAGAAATAGTATAATAACTAATTACTCAGAATTTGTGGCACTAGACACCAATGAGCAATTACAAATTAAGTTAAGATATGACTTTAGTTTGCTATTTTAAATGTGATCAAATATACAACCCAGACAAGTCTATGCCTTACTACAACTTCTACATGTTTTTTATTATTAACCCACAAATGCATGTAAATACCTGTACATGACTTATTTGGAAAATTTGTTCCTTTGGGCTTTCTGACTCACTACATTAATATTTAGGGAATTTTTATCTGGTTATGCAAATCATACATGCAGCTTCTAAAGAAGTTTTACTCATTATCATAATAAATTTAAAGATCCTGGTATCCAGTTTCTACTTTTGGACAAATTCCTGTGTGGCTTAGATTGGTCTTATTCTGCTATGAATTTACTCTTCTGAACACTAATTTTGCCATTTACTTTTGACTTTCTGTTAAAAATTTGGCTTCATCTTCCCTCCTATTCATTTTACCTCTTTATTTCCTATTTTCTCCAATGTTCCCTCACACAAAATCAGAGTCTCATTGATTCAGTTAATGTACATAGGGACTTTCTTTACAGGTAAGTGGAAAAGGGAAAGTGAAATGTCAGTTATGAATGGATTTTTGTGGAGTAAAAGGGAAACACAGCTGGTTTTTATGACTCTGAGTAGGGTGGCACTTCTTCCCTACTGGATATTTTTAAAATAAATTTAGCCCCTATGGAAAAGAAGATATAGAGTGTTGAATAGTGGCCACCCCAAAAGATCTGTCCCATGCCTGAATTATCAGAACCTAAGAATGTTACCATATTTGGAAAGAGGGTCTTGGCAGATGCTTTTCCTTTAAGATAGGCTATAATTAAGTTAAGGATCTTTGGATAAGATCATCCTAGGTTATCTGGGTGGGTCTTGTATCCAATAAGGGGCCTTAGATAAGACATAGAGGAGAGACATTCATAAAGAGAAAGGCAGTGTGACCTCAGAAGCACATATAAAAGTGATGTAGTCACAGGCAAGGAACATTTGGAAACACCAACAGCTTCTAGCTTCTAATCAGAAGCAAGAAGACATACCACCAGAAGTAAATGGTTCCTCAGGCCTAGACAGAAGGTGCAGCCCTGAGAACTCCTTGTTTGAATTCTGGACTCCACAACTATGAGAGAGTAGTTTTCTTTTGTCTCTGTGAAGATTTGTTACATCCTGGAAAACTAATGCAGAAGCTTAAAGCAAGAAGCTAATGAGAACTATTTGACAGTTTGTGATTTTGTGAGTTTGGAGGGTTTGAGTAAGAAGACTGTTTGACCTACTCCACTGCTTCCTGTGCTGCAAAACTTCAGCTCCACTTAAACACTTGAAAAATGGAAATGCTGGAAGCACTCCAAATGGCCCATCTTGGCAAGGATATTGTGTTCTCATGATGGCCAAGACTCCACTGGGGCTCTTCCAAGCAGCTGAATAATCAACAGGTATGAACAGGTGTGTGTTGAGTCAGGACAGGAATAACTGGCTGAATGTATAGTGAAGACTGCAGTTGATTGTGGTTTCAAGCATATATGAGGATCCAGTATGAAAATACTCCACTGCACATGGGAGATCCAGGACATGTTCAGAGCAGAAAGTCATATTTTACCAAGGAGGGGTATTTGCAGCAAGGGTAGATGATAAGACTGGAAAGGTCAACTGGAGTCATTTAGGGTAAAAGCTGGGTTTAAAATCAGACTTGGGCTTTTGATTTTAATGACGAGATGAAGAAAGGAAGAAAAATAGGCAAGCAGCCTTGGAGTTAATGGCCTCCAAAGGGAAGCTCTTGGCCTAGTGATTGAAACAATCTAATTACAAAGGGATAGCGAGAGAATGGGCTTCTATAATGTGCCTTCTAAATGATAAAGAAAGGAATTTAAAAACTAGAAAGTAATACTGTTTTCTGTCAAGATTGCTAATAATTTTAAATTTGCTGTTTTTAGGATAAAACCAATTATAATCACTCTTGCCCATTTATATTATTTTCAGTACTATGAAAAATATAAATACATAAAATAGACATGTTTTTGGTAGGTATTTATAATACTCCCTCAGTTAAACAGTATATCTAATAGGAATAACTTAGCAAAACTAACACATAATTTCTTTAAAAAAATTACCTAGAATTAAAAGTGACTTTGCTGTTAGTCCTCCAGATGTGGTGGGATATTTTAACACATACCAACCAGGACAGGATTTAAAAACAAGCTTTCTTTCCCTGGCATTCTTCCCAGCTCTGATTTTAAAACAAGTAGGCTACAGCATCATTACCACTACAGCGTCGTTACCACTAGAACTCCAAGACTGCCCACATCCACAAAAGGCCCACACTCAGAATATTTCTTCTTCCTCCCTCTTGTTTGTTCTTATCTACCATTTGTGAACATAAATATGCTTCTTCTTTTTATTGACATTTTGTGACTTAGGATAGTGTAGCATGATATCTTGCAAATTGAAGACTTAATAAATACTCATAAAAGTATATTAAATAAAACACAAGTACAAAAATTTGCATTTATTTAGAGTAAATAATGTTTTCATGCAAGAAGGACTGCCTTATGTATAGCAATCACATTAGTGTCTCCCTTATCCCTAAATCAGGTGATCTACTGGCAAAAGAGATGGGAGGCTCTCCTTTATCCTGCCCCATCACAAAATATCCAGTGCTGTATAACTCTTAGATCTGTATTCAATCTGTAGTTACCTTGCTCTGCCTAGAGTGAGGGATAGTCCTCTTCTCTATCCTCTTAAACCCTCTCCCATTCTCTTCAATTTTGAGTTGATCCTTTCTGATTTTTCTCCTCCATTGCTACTGTGCACACTTGTTTTAACACGGTTTTACCTCTAATACATATTTTTATTCGTCTTATTCTGAGCCCTAAATGTCCCTCTTTTTTGTTTTTATTCTAAAGCCAGTCACACGGATTGGTTAGGAACAGCAATCAATTTCCCAGCAGAAATCAGTCTTGTTTTGGAAGCAAATTTATGTTCCAAGCCAAGTGGACAAGAATGGCCAGGAAAAGAGAGACTGTGTCCTCTCTCTTCAGCTCAGTTCCCTTCAACCTGCATGCTATTCCTGTGTGTGAGAAAGAGAGTAGAGCATTTGTCCACTAGAGGTAAATCCTAGGAATCAGAACTTGGGTCATAAGTACATGGTTTTAACTGGGTCAGTTCTGAATCAGGCCACTTTTAATAGATAATCTCAGCACTGATAATTGTACAGGAATTGCATAATGCATGTCAGAGGAACCTGTCAGTAAAAAAATTAAAATGGCATGTCTATTATAACTGGATAGGTATTTAAGTGGCCTCATGATTACTAGGAAGATAGATGCTCTACCCCTTGAGCCGTGTGCAGAGCCCCATGGTTTTACTTTTGAGTATAAATTCAAGCAAATAAATAAATAATTATAGAGAGGAAGGAAGGAAGGAAGGAAAGAAGGAAGGAAGAAAGGAAGCCAAAGTCTTTACTTTAGTACTTAGGCCAAAGACCATTTTAAGAGTTTTTACTTTAGCAACTATCCGTAAGCATTAATCCACAGATCTATTTGCCCATAAATACTTCAAGGCCATAAGATCCAGGGTAAAGTTTTTGACTATTCTTTGAGGAAAAGAGAAGCAAGCCTCAAGGATAAGCTAAGGCCAATAACTCATAGTAATTGTCCCAAACAACACTGTGGTGTTTGGCCTTCAGAACACACTGACTGAGTGAGTGAATTAAGAAATAGCTAGAATCACTTCAGGACTGAAAAACAGTGTTTCAAGAATAACCCCAGCCACCGTAATCTCCTCTGCTCTAGATTTTGCAAGCTGCCTTAGTGAATCTTGTATTTACTTAAGGTATAAATTCACTCTGAATCTTTACAATCTTCCATCTCAATCTAAACCCCAAATACTTGAAGTTACCACTCAAGAGGTTCTAGTTAAAATATCAGGGCTGTGTTTGAGACTGGAAATGGACACTTAAAGACTTCTCACTGGCTCCAACACAGCTTCTCAGATTTGTCTACAGTCCCTAAACCCAATCCAGAGATTGATGACCTGTCAAATGCAGGCAGAGCCATAGTTTGTGGTACAGTTCCTTGAAGCAAAAGCCAAGCAAACTGTGATTTGGCATTCCAGCAGGTGTGATTCATTGATCCTTGTCTAAGAGAGATTTGAATATAGCCTCATAAAATTCCAGAAATTCATGTTTGAAATGAGAACTACAAAAAGTGAAGCCACAGAAAGACAAAAAGAAGGTAGAGAAGGAAGGAAGGAAAGAAAGAAGGGAGAGAGAGAGGGAAAGAGGAAGGAAGGGAAGAAGGAAATAAGCCAAAACTCCCAATAAGCCCTGGGAGTTTTCATTTTTAATCTATCAATTTGGTAAAGACTTAAAAAAGATAACACTAAATACTAAATAAAGATATGGCAGAAGAGATACTCATACACTAGTTGTGGGAATGTTAACTGGTTCAATCTTTCTGGTTCATGAGTTTTCTGAGTTCATGAGTTATGTAGAATAACTCATGGGCTTAAGCTGTTTACATTCACTAATGTGAAGTCTAGAGACATGTTTATGTGCAAATATGTTAACTGATAAAGATTTGTAACATTCAATTTAGCCTTCCATATGAAACAACTATAAAGATAAATATGTTTTCTTCTCCATTTTAGAGAACCTATCCCAGGTTCTCTTAACTACTTCTCAGAGCGTGATTTCCAGGACTTGTTATGTTCTGGCCAACACACACACACACTCTCAATCACTATTAGTATTCAATATATTTTGGGCTTTAAAAGTAGCAGCCTAGAATCTACCATGATATTCTCAATAAGACCTGAGCCTCATGTAGAAATCTGAGAACATTATCAAACTATCTGGTGTCTGCTCTCTAAAAAAGTCCAAGAGAACTACTATTTGTAGTAGATTATTTTAAATACATATACTCTTTTTTTTAATCTCATCATTCCAAAATTAAATTCAAAGTTTGGATCACTGAAAACTGATCTATTTGGTAAATATTTACTTAATATATTGAATTATTACCTTCATAAAACTATTTAATCCTGTATTTTCATTTTTTATTGGACACTACTTTCAGCAAAAAACACATTTGTTGCAAAAAATATTTTTCACTTCTGCTGAGGATGCAGCTGCAAGAGAACTTCTACTTTGTGCACTAGCAAAAAGAACACAGATAACCTACAAAACACTCATTCTTCAAAGTTCATTATTGCTGAATTTGTGAAGAAACACTGTGGAATAAATCTCATTGTTGGCACAGCTGTTGAGAAAAGACCAGGTAGTTATAGATTTTGGGTCAACTTAAACAATCTAACGTACATGTCAAGGAAGACCAACCAGAAGAGTGGGGAGAAGGTCTATTTGAAGAGGTAATAGTTGGGAACTTTCCAAGTTGAGGAAATATCAACCTGAGGATATGAGAAGTCAGTAAGTCTCCATCTGGGTAGATACATTTTGGTCAAGATGAAAGGCAAATACATAGAGAAATTTTGAAAGCAGTCAGAGAAAATGGACACATTAAGTACAGATTCTGAGGGACAATTTTCTGTATGCATATATTCATACATATGTGCATTTTGTTTATATAATATGTATCATATATCATTGTACTTCTGTGTCTATAAGACACTGAAATGTAATGTATTAAAAATAGCTGTACAAAGGGAGCTGGGGGAACATGTTACGAACTGACACCAGATGGTAACTCAAATCCACATAAATAAATGAGGAGGACCAAAAACTGGAATAAAAAAGTTAATAAAACACACAGTATAAATACATATACTTGTTTGTCTCTCTTCCCTCCCTTATCTTCAAGAGACATAAAATTATAGATAGTAATATTTGTATTAAGATATATGGATGTATATATATATACATGTACAACAGTGCAAAAATGGGGGAAGAGGAAATAGAGATATCTAGAAGAAGTATTTCCATATTTCACTGAATTTAAGTTAAAAAAATGAAATCTATTCTGATAAATTCAGATATATTTAGTAAGCCCTATTGAAATAATTAAGTGTATACATACGCCTTCAATATATACACAATGAGTATCATTAAAGAAATTAAAACGTTACACTAGAAAACGTGTTCTTAGGTGAAAAGAAAACAGCAAAGAAGGAACAGAGGAACAAGACAGTGAAACAGCTGGAAAGCAAATATGTTTTGGCAGCTATAAATCCAACTGTATCAATAATAACATTAAATGTAACAGATTAAAGATTCAATCAAAAGCAGAGATGATCAAACTGGGTAAAAACTAAGATCTAGCTATGGACTGTCAATAGAAAACATCTCAAATTCAAAGACACAAATAAAAGTTAAAAGAAGAATTGGGAATGTTAAACCTTGCAATATCTGAAATGCTCTATTTAAAACACAGCTCCACCTCCCTATCCTTATGTTCTGTTGTTTCTGTTTAGCACTCATCACATGACTTACTATATTCTTCGAATATTTGTTTATTGGCATCTCTCCTACTAGAAAGTGAGCTTCTTAAAGGCAGGGTTTTTATGTATTTTTCTTTATATTGTTTAGTTGTATTTTCAGCATGCAGATCAGGCTTTGACACATAGTAGGAGTTAATGAATGTCCATCTATTGACTGAGCCCTATGAGGCTGCTCAAAGTACTGCAAGTGAAACACCTGAACAGTGAACACACAGTTTACATCCTTACGGAACTTTATTTCTGGTGAATTTTTTTAAATGAGAAGCCTTATCTTATTAAGCAACATAATAAGTATACATAAGTAATTAATGAAACTGTCTACAAATAGCTATTAATGGCATTTGCCCAAAAACTCCTTAATGATTATTTTTGCCAATAAATCTTAGTGTTGCATGTAGTCCCAGTAAGAAATCCAAAAAGCCTGTGATTGCTTTTCCATTATAAATTTAGATGCACTGTTTTTCTGCTATAGCTTTAAAATGTTTCAATGATTAAATTCTGTACAGCTGTCTTCATTATTAAATGTAATAAAGAAAACATTTCGAATTTTTGTTTTGAAAACATAAATGCTTTAAGAAAGCAATCATTTCAAAATAATTAAATTCTTAAAAAACCATGTTTTTATTTTTCATTAAGCATTTCATATTGAACCATGAACAGACAAGCAACACTCACCTGTTTTTGCATCTTTCCAGTCATCTGAGAGAATGGTCCTGCTCTGTATAGTATATTTAGAGATAGGACTATGATTGTCTGAGCCACGGCTCCAGGTAAGTGCCACAGAAGTAGCTCTAATGTCTTCTATTCTCAGACCACCTGGAGGACCTGGGGGTCCTGGAATGAAAATTTGGGCAAGAAATCAATAAATCTCAACTAGCAAATTATACACAATTAGAATATAAAAATTTCCTTGTTTCAATTAATTTAAACATTTGTACAGTATACTTAGTGTTGTTGAATTTCTTTTCACTATAGACCATAAGCAGTGATAATAATATCATTTGTTCATTTGTGGTTTTCACTGAATTATCTAATTTCTCTCTCTCTCTCTCTCTCAGTACTGGGAGTTTGAACTCAGGGCTTTGAGCTTGCTATATGAAAACATTTGGTCAAAGTTTCCATCCTGATTCTCCAAAAATGGAATAAATTTTTTCTTATAACCTTTTATATATATCCTTTACCCTAATGATAATGTAGGTAATCTATTTTACTTGGAATGGAAATTTCTGGGAATCATTTTCTGTATCATTTTGGGTAGTAAAATTTCATGTTTTATTAAATAAAAATAAATCATGTTAAAAGAAACATTTGTGCTTATATAAAATATAGAAAGCAGAGTCAGCTCAGAGATAATACCAGCAATGTGCTGAGAACATCACATCATACTTCATAGCATTTTAGAACATGAGAATTATTATCGCAGAACATAAAGTTAAAACAGGTTTTCACGGATGCTTCCTAATTCAACAACAATGTTATTTATTTGTTCTCTAACCTGAGAGCACTTTGCCGAGTAGTAGACGTGAAAAGATAAACGAGACACAGCTTTTGGGTTTTGAATAGCTCATTGTCTTGAAAAGAGTGACAAATAACTGTAATAAAAGTAGTAAATGCCATAATGGTAGGCAAGATGCTTCTATTTTACATCTTGATTTCTCCCTTTTAAAAATGACTGGGGAAAATACTTTATGTGATAAATGTCATCCATTGCTTATAACGTTAAAGATGTCTCCTAGCATAGACATTTGAGGAAATGCCATCACTTGTTTTTGTTGCACCAGAAAGGAGTCCATACCCAACTGAATTAGGCATATTAAATGTAAAAATTAATCAACAACTTGGTCAAGTAACACCTTCATTTTTTTAAAGTACTAAAGAAGATATTTGTTTTGATCTTTTAACTGAAAATAAATAACTGCATAATTTTATATCAGATTGATTGCTTAGCCTGGATGGCTTTTTGTTTTTGCAGTAGCATGAGCAATACTCCACACCTTTACTAGTTGCTTTGTGATTGGCCCCAAAGAGGAAGAATATTTGTTGGTCAAAAACCATATTATCACTGATATAAAGCAACACGAGACATACCTTATTGGTGGCAGTGAATTTTATTATTTAGAAATATATCACATATGAACATAATAAAGGTAAATAAACATAAATTTATCATCAATAATAGTGTGCTTACACTTCTTCATGTTAAATAATTTAAAACAGGCACATAAATAGCATAGGGTACATTTGATATTCAGAAAGAACATGTTGCATTTTTTCATGTGTAAAAAAATCACATTGAAATATAGTGTACATTGTTCATCAGTACCAAGAATCCATTACTTCACATAAAACATCATCCCAAGTCCAATACTGAGTGGAATACATTAGAGTATTTTAATAATTAGAGATTAAAAATAAAATAATTTTAAAAGGAAGATAAACTTTTATAATGCATGCATTCAGACACATTCTGAACATAAAGTTATGGCATTCAGAAAATGTTAAATGGAATTTAAGACAAATTGCCGTAGGTGAGTCCTTAACCACTCTAGTATAAATCATTTCCTGCTGTTATTTGCTGAAGTTCTTAAAGTTTCAAATCAATATTTCACAAAGATCACATTAAAGCTACATGTGCAGTACATTTGTTGGAACACTGCATGTATGCATAGTAATTTTATTCAGTTGTCCATTCAATAATATATTATTGAGAATAATACTCTAATTATATCTATCATTTTTCTGTGATGTATGACTTGCCTATAGTGGGTTGTTAAGAGATTATTTGTTTATATTATAAGAGAATTTATAGCTATTGAGCTTCAGAAAATTCTACACATATATGGTCATCTACGATACATTCCTGATTCTCACCCTTGCCTTGAAATGTGATGTCATAAGAAGGTGGAATTGAGGGAACAAATGGAAAGGGGCGGCTAGTATCCTCAGAACCCTGTGTGGCAATAATGTTTCCTTTGATATAGATTTTTCTATCTCGTAGTAATTGCCTACAAATATTTCCCAGAAAATACCTGAGAAACAATACTATCAAAAAGCAGAATTTGAGAGTTAAAATAGGCTTGGCCTCAAATTCTGCACCCTAATTTACCTTGGTCAAGCTTCTTAAAATTACTAAATTCTCATTTTCTCATTCATAAAAATACAAATAATATATTGATCACATTGGATTGTTGTCATGATGAAAGTAACATTGTTATAAAACGTAGTGTTAGGCCTTGTCCTAGTAAGCCCTACGTAATCTTTAGCTATTAACAGTATTACTATCACTACCCTATAAAAGCTTTCTAGTTAACTGAAACAGTAATTATTAGTACTTATTAATCACTGTCAGGGATCTGCTTTCCAGATTGTTCATTTATCATTTGTCACTTAAAAGAAAGTTGAGACCTCATAAAGTTAAGTATTTCCAGATGGATTTGGTGGAGGTGAGAAAAAGTCCAGAATGTGAGGATCCTCTACTGTATGCCAAAGACTCAGGGTGAAGCAAAACAGAATACTGACACCAAAGACAAGCATAAGTGGCCTGAGTTCAACACATCCCACCCTGCCTGCCTCCCAGAGGAAGGGTTCCAAGCAGCTCTACTGGATGATACTTGTTCAGGTTTTTGTTCAGAACGGTGGGATAAGCACTGCGATGGAAAATACAATAACAAAGCTACTGGTTTTTCAGCACAATGGAAGGCACTTATAAACTCTTCTTTTATTAATAGTAAATAAATAAATAATTTTAAATTTTATTAATGTTATTCTTTACTGAAATTTATTAATGTCTTTAGAAAAAAACCTATGTATGAATAAAACACAAATGTGACTTTCACTCACTTCTCATTCATGCATGAAGTAATTAGAAAGAAAAATGAGCAAAAATACAGTTAGTTATCAACTGTCATTTTTCCTTCAGAAATGTAGTACCATTCAATGGGAAAAGTTAATTAGGAAAACATGTGTTCCAAATGATTGTCCACACATTATAAGCTGTCCATATAGTCTCAACAATCCAGACTCATTTTTGACAAATCAAATGGAACAGAAGATTCAAATTTCAGATGCTCCAAGATTAAACAGGTTATAGAGCAGCTGTGAATATACTCTACACATCATCTAAGTTGGTGACATCACTGAGCAGTAGCCCCAATGTACTCTCTCTTTCTTAAGTAACCATAGGTGGAGTCCTAGATCACTATTGTTCAAATGACTCTCCCCACCCCCAAACCACTGTTTTTTTTGGGACACCTCACCACATGGCACACTCTACTAATATCAGCTTTGCAGATCCCAAACTGGTGTTAAGTAAGAAAGACATGCCTGTGTCATTTTCTTCTCAACTGGGAATTCCCAAGCAAGTAAGTAATTAAAAGCAAAACACCACATAAAATATCCTATTGCTCATTGTTTATTTTTACTAAAATGATGAATTTCAGTGAAGAATTTGAGGATGCTAAGGAAACAAAAAATTCAGAATTATTTTTACTTTTTAAATAAAATGATCGTTCTCTGGGCAAGTGACTTCTTCACCAAAATAAGTCAGTTAAAGTCATTTTGTTACTATAGAACTGATCTTTCCCTGAAAATCAGTCATAACAATGACTATTTTAATTCTGTAAAATGCAAGTCTATGTTGTGTGGTCTTGTTAATGTTTGAAGCTGTATTAAGTTGAAGCTGAGTATTAAATATCTCTACCATGTAATAGGATAGTTTTCTTAACTTCTGACATTAATAAATGTGAACTTAGATCCTAATTAGATGTGAGATTGAGGTGAAAAGATGTCAATAAGTCTCCTTTTATAATTTTATTCCTTCTTTCCCAAACTATGCTCCTATCTGTTCTTGGTGGAATAATTTCAGATATGGACAATGAAGGAAAATACCAACAATGATGACTCACTCACATGTCTCCATGGATATTTAGAAATACTTGAAAACCCTCAAATTAATTTTAAACATATTCAAATGGAAATCGATGTAGATTACAGTCCAAATTCAAAGATAGTTCCTTCTGTGATGCCAACTGAGACAAGAAAGCATAAAAATGCAAATATGTAACATATTGAGGCAGAGACATTTATTCCTTGAAAATGAAAAATTATTTTTAAAATAAAACCATATATGTGTAATGATTTAAGAATCATTTCCATATCCCTCAAAGCTTTCCTGAGTCTTCCAACCACAGATAGAGTAGCTGGAATCACCAAATGAAAGGCCTAAATTGTATCTCATACCTAAATATAAAACTGTCTAAGAAGAACAAAATTATTTCTTGTGAAGAGACAAGACTTTTAAATGTCTCTCTTTGACCAAAGGAGGAAAACAAAAGCATTTTCAAGCAATGAGACTTAAGGAGTCCCGGAAAGCATTATATAAGCTTCAGTGTTAATTTCCTATTTCAATTCCCCAGTCATCCCAAATCATTCTTAACCTTTCTCTCAAATGAATAGAAGGCTGGTGGCAGGAGTTAATAACATTTCATGTGAATGCATGCTGTTCATCGCTTAGCCATCTTCATGTAGATCTTGTTACTGAGGTACAGGTAAGGTCCAATCCATGGAGTTATTCCAAGACCCTTCAAGGCCATGGTTAGTCTTCATTTGATTACTGCTGCTTTTCATCCTTTTCCTGCCAAAGAATATGAACGGCACTAGGATGTAAGAAGCTGCTGCCTGTTGCCCCTGGTAGCCTAATGTAGATGGTGGATTTGACAGCAACATGTTCATTATCTGCTTGAATAAATCAAATAGTCCATTCACTGGCAACACTCCTGTGTTACACTTTACCAGTTCTCCATATTCTTTTAGATAATGAGCTAACTTCTGAGTTA